GGGGGCGTTTCCCTGCACAGTGTAACCTATTCTCTGACTTCAGCGTGGAAACAGTGCGTGGCATTAAGAACGGCTTCTCCGCGGGAGCAGCGTAAACGTGGACCAAGCGGTAAGTGATGATTTTTTTTTTTCCCCCCTTTCATAAAATCACATTTTGCCTCAGCTGATAAGCGTGGATTCCAGCACTTTAGGATGTTGTAATCGTGGCTAAACAGCCTTTCTTTATAATCGTGGAAGTGAAGAAACTAGATTTAAAGATTACGGATGAAACCGTTTAAATCGCGGCACTGACGCCCTATCAGTGATCAGTGGGATGCTGGCACGCTTTGTGGTTTGATAACTAAACAGGTTGGTCCCAGCAGCATCCCCACCAAAGTGCCTATCAAACGTCTCGAAGGGAGATACACCTGCTTCCAGCTCTCAGTGTTTCACCGCAGCGCGTCTTCTTCCTTTTTGTAGCCTGCTGGATGGGAAGTATGTTGGTTTTGAATCCCGTTCACACTCTCCTGCTGAGGGTTTAGGGATTCAGTCCACGCCTGCCACCATGGCATCTGAACTGGGATCTCCTTGTCAGTGGGAGCGGATGTATTTACAAACAAAGAAAGCTTGATAACCCACGCCTGTCACGTAGAAAACAGGTGCTGCTGGCTATGTGCGATTTTACAGTGTGTGGTTGTTTGGTTATCTGGGCCAGTAGGCCAACTTGGAGCCATCTGTACTGGCAGGGCCGGACTTTAACCAGGGCTCACTGGGGGCAGAAGCCTGGTGGTGGCCTTTCATGGGGGGCCTCAAATATATATTTTTTCAGCTTTTAAATAAATGTTTGCTTCACTTCATAGCCCATATCCCTGTGATTTCCATGTCTAACTGTTTTAAGGCAATGAATTCACAAATACAAACCAGACCGTAGAGCCCAAACGCTTGCAGAATCATACAGTTTATTTGTAATTCTCACAACTTATATTACATTAAGCCACACATAGACCAATACAGCTATTGCTTCTTAACTCTGCGAACAAACACAATAGAGTATTAGAGGAGAGAGTAATACATTGTTATTAGCTGGTATTGCTAACAGCGGTTAGCACCAAAGCAACTTGCAACTTGCATTGATTTTCTGACATGCAACTAAAATCATCTTGGGTGTTGCTGTGAAATTTTGGGTCATCTTATTTTTTGGAGACGTATCTTGATTCAAGCACGCTGTTCTTAAAATTAAGTTTTCAAAAAGGAAAAAAAATAAACCATGAAACCTCTATTTTCATGTAGGCAAGGCCTGTATGTACACTGACATTAATTTGTCACTAGATAATTATCCAAAGCAGTTTCACTGCAATTTGTAGCCATAATACATCCAGGCCATGAGATGATATTCAATACTCTGCTCAAGAAAACAAGACAAGACGTGATTTCACCTGATTAGTATTTCACAAATAGGATAAAGGTTTCTCAATTCAAATAAGCAATGTAATAAAGGACTGTTAAACAGTGTAGAATGATAAGAATTTTACCAATTTATATATTATGTTACTTATGCTTGTCTAATTTTAAGGTGGTGCTTCTGACAGAAATGCATTGAAAATGCTCCTTAATGTCTCGTTGTTAGAGAATAAAGGATTTGTTCATCTCAAACTATGCTTTAAAAATAATCTCCATTTCACATAGAAATAATCAGTTTGATTACTATTAAAATGAAATGTAAATAGCCCTTTTATTAGCTGTTAGCTGAACACTGCAAGCTAACATTTGCTCCCTCGTGGCTAACGGTTAATGGTCATATTTTGTCAGCGCTTACTCTCCTCAAAATTTTATTACAGTAACAATCTTTAGCACTTTTGTAACCAAGTGTTGTCCATACTTTTTAGCTGGCTCTGTCAACAGAGCAAAGGAACAACCAAAGAACTGCATCCCTTTTCATTATCAAAAAAAATGAGCCTCAGGCATGAGTACAACAGGGTGTTAAGCTTAAAGCACACACCCTCATTTCTGAGGAAGATAATAAATTCTCATATTTACTTTGCCAGGTGGAGGCAGATGTTATTTCTAACAGGAAGTTCCCTCCTTGAGACGGATTTTGATTTGTTCAAAAAATATGGCAGCTTTTTAATATAGCAAGCTCTGGGTGGGGAATCAAAAGTGGCGGTGTCCCAGGCGGAGTCCTTCTTCTAAGTCTGGCCCTGTGCTCCGGGGTTCTGCAATCCGAAGTTTGGTAAATGTAGAGAGGATCTGCTCATTCTGGACTCCAGCATAAATGCATTAGAACAGCTACGAGTGGGTCACTTATTTTTTATTTTATTTTATGTAGAGACTATTAGACTCAACAGCATGGCAGAAATGGCTGGAAGGATTTGCTGTTGCAGGCAAAAGCATAAACATGCTCATAACAGGGCCTTTAGTTCCAAACAATTAAGCAATAATGTGCAAGCAGCAGGCCCAGCATCCGCTCTGCTTCTGTTTCCATCACAAGCCCATCTTGTCTTTGCCTCCAGGCTCAGTCACTTGTAATTCTGCATCCTACTCCAAATACCAGGTACATAAAATGATTGATAAGTCTGTTTGCGTCAGACATAAATATGAAACACAGACCGATTTTCTTTCATTAGGCCCTCCAGCTGGAGCCAGTTCGCTTTCAATCAAGTCAATTCAGGAAATGGATTTTCTTATAGATGCAAACCAGATGTCTTTCGGCATCAAATAAACTTCTTACCAGTCTATAAATATATTATTGGGCTGGGTGAGGAAGAAGGTAGAGAATCATAAATATGTGGGTACATGATCAGCTTGCATGAATGTGTCAGAACTGCTGCTCCAGGCACGCCCACATGAGTGTCATGTTATCATAGCTTAACCTCGATGTACCACACTGGAAAGTGTTTGCAGATCAGACCGAGACGTTCCCGGTGACACAGAGCAGACACACGGCAGCTCCTGCGGGGTGAGCCGGGCAGCAGCGGGGTGTATTTTTACACCAGATCTGTGACACCTCCCTACATCTCTTCACAGCTCGTGGTGAGAACAGAAGACACGTCCACACGAGTTGCCATCACCGGCAGGCCGGACTTGGACAGTTGGGGCGGAGGAAGAGGCAAGAAAGAGGGAAGGGAGATGAGGAGAGGAAGACCAAGGGGGTTATAGGTAATGAGCGAGACGTTGAGGTCTTCTAAGTGACAGCAGGTTAAGGGTCTCAGGGGAATTTTTGCAGGAGAGTCAGGGTTCCCGATAGCGTGAAGGGGATGTGTGGCTCAAGTGCTGGATGTGTCTGGACGGATAAACAAGCAGCCGTCCAGACGATGAGAGAGCAAACACGGGGCAGGGGCGGGAAAGCGGCGGCAGACGGATCAGCGTGATTAGAGGGGAAAGGTTAAGAGGAAAAGTGAGAAGGAGTGGGGGAATCAAGGAGGAAGACCATCATGCCCTGTTTGTAAACTGAGGCTGGAGTTTTCCAGGAGGAGCTGACTGTGGTGCTGATGCAAACTCCCCTCCTCTCTTTTCCCAGTGCCTCTCCTCCTCCCATCTTTTCTCCTCCTCAGCTGACAGCTACTGTGTCTCTAATTGGCAAGTGTGGATTGGGAAGAGTCTGGCTTATTCTCCATGGGACGGAGTAAGGAAGGCAATATTGTGGATTTTTTTTTTCCTGGAAAGGAGCTGGAAGTTGGGAAAGAGGGAAGACAATAGGTGAGGGCTGAACATCTGTTATGTACATCATCCGCTGTTGGTAATCGCTCCCTCCCCCTCACTGGAGAGTAGCAATTCCTGACACCTTGCAGATAATTGGTGATCCTGTCCTCTCCCCGAGTGCTCGGCTAAACGGTGGCTTGATGTGAGGAAGAGCTGATGGCAGTGTGATCTCTTAATGTGTGTGGACATACATAAAGCATACAATCTAATTAGTACTCTAGCAGTGGGCTTAAGTTGTGAATGCTGCTGCTGCTGCATTGCCACTCAAGGCTAAATATCATCTCTTTTGTCTCCTTTCATCACAGGTGCTGTCCTTAAAGATTCGCCTCTACGATGTAATCTGATTCAGGAGCTGAAAGGATAATACAGAAGAGGAAGAAAAAAAAAGGAGCTGAATGGAGTGAGAAAGGAGTGGAAGCGTGGGTGGAGGCGGTCATTTTGTGCTCCGGTCTCGACCACGGGTATTCTTGGGTTGATAATACAGATGTGGATGTTATTGCTTGAGAATACGCGTAGTCGAGGGGAAGCTTTATCATCAACACTGGATCTGATGCGGAGATCTGTTCTGTAGTGCTGCAGTCCAAACATTAAGGGAAGGAATGAATGGAAATGTTTGGTCAATCAGGCTTTTGAATTACCTTGCCTTGTAAGAGTACTCATAAACCTTGAGGTTTTCTGCATTTTGTCACATTGAAGCCACAAACTTCAATTAGGTTTATTGGGATTATTATTGTCTTTATTATTATTATTATTATTATTATTATTATTATTATTATTATTATTATTATTATTATTATTGGGATCTCTTATAAAATCCCAACGACTGTGTACTTTGTGCCCAATTATGCACAAACTAGTGCATAATTATGAAGTGAAGGGAGACATCTTATAAAAACGTTAAAATTTTTACAATTTAAAATCCGAGAAGTTGGCCGTGCTTTTGCTCCGATACCCCTAAATAAACTTTGGTTCATTCATTACAGATCAGAGAAGCAGAATCACTGTAACTCTGGAGGAGCAGCAGAGATTCACAGCCCGGTCAGGAAAATCTGTCGACGATGTGTCGATATGATTTGTTGGCCATAAGAACCAGAACAAGTCCGGTTTGCCTCAAGCCATGTAGGGGAACACAGCAAGAAATATGGCAGAAGGTATTTTGATCAGATGAGACTAAAACTTTCTGGCATGCAAGAAAAATCCCAGGTGTATCTGAAAGCTAGCGCTGCACATCCTTCTGAGAAACACAAGCCAAAACTAGCCAAGAAGATACAATGAGCTTTGTGGCTGTAATGTGACAAAATGTGACAAAAAAGTTAAATGGAAGTGATTACTTTTGCAAGGCAAAGTAAGAAGCAATTGGGGCTTGCCAGGAGTCTCAATTGAATTCAGCCACTGACGAGGTGTTATCAGCCGTGTCACTCTGTCCACCTGTGGAGCTGGTGCGTTCAGCAGCTCCTTCATCAGAAGCTTTGCACCACGCTGCTGAGCTAAAACCCGGGCCGTTCTTGGAGCTTATCTCAAAAGTCTTTGTTGCACACTAAATCTTTTGATTATCTACTCTTGTCATTCACAAGCGATGTCATAGTCTCACCATTTAATGACTGCCTTCTGTCGTTTTTATGTCCATATTCATTCCAAACAAGAACGCTTTAAATTTCCAGACACGGTGCCTGAGAATTTTGCTCAGCCACGAGCCCATCCACACTACCCCCCCCCACCCCCTCTGCGCTCCGTTTTTTTTTTTTTTCCCCACTCTCCAGCTCAAATCTTATAAAAGGAGTAAAACAAAAAAAAAAGTGCTAGTGTGATGCCAGTAGCTGCAGCAACAGGAGACAGTAACACATGAGGACATGTAAAGCTTGCACCCGTGGCTGACATTTCAGCATTTTGACTCAGTTGACTGGCTGTCATGATGCAGAATCTGACTCGCGCTGACACAAACACGGGATCTACATGCCAGCAGGGAAACAGCGGGGTTTGATGGAGGCTCATGACAACAGGCACATGGATAGATCCCATCCGTTTGAGCACACATGCGATGCTGCGTGAAGGTTCACTGGGTCCGTACGCCTGGAGGGAAGAGGGGG